ACTCCATCTTTCCCTCCAAATCTCTACTGCACACTAATCACCCGTCTATCGACCTTGGAATCCTCAATCAGACTCACAGCCGTGAAGCTTTTGATTCTTCAGACTGACTCAATTATTACCAAGGTCTTCGTCTATGTGCTTTGTACTGCCGAGTGGTTACAGAACGTGTATTTAGTGTAACGACGAAACAGTAGATAACGTACTCCGCACCGAATCATTTCATATCGGCAGCTAAAGGCAAAGTTTGGGATTAGCCGACCAAGCCAATCCCTTCTATAACCTCTGTTCGTGGTTACGCACCCATAGAGATGACACCATGCTCGTGATTCGAAACAGCGCGGTAATAAGCCCCCGGAGAAGTCTTGTGAGCTATCGCCGCCTGGCGTTGGCTATGACCGCCCACCGCGGGAGGTGGTGCGTGGCTGACACAGGGCGTGAAATCAGCTGGGTTGATGCCGTATGAACCGCTGAATGAGCTAAATAGCAATGGCTGGCAATCCTGAAAACTGCTGTGCCCGCCCTCTTCGCTCGTTCGGACAAGCCTTTCTATTGTGCTTGCCCTCTTCGCAGTTATCAAAAGGGAGAGGGGGTACTACTTTTCGGCCTTGAAGACGGTTTCTTTCTTTTTTCTTCACTGTCGTTCCATTTTTCCCATCACTACACGAACTTTCAATTGCGAAAGCACCCCAAATCGAGCCCAAAGATCGCCTTTAAAACTTTTGAGTGCGAATTTGAGTTACATAATGAACGGTTAACCAAACCGTGCCAAAGTTGATTATATAAATTTTATCACAGTATCAAATGATGGTTGATCTTTTTCTATATATGATGATGGAGATACTGTTCGGAGTACAACAGGCTGCAATACGTATGCGGTAAATGTTGCTACTCACAATGTGCCATGGTCGAAACAGATGGTAAAGCCTGCCTCTAACAATTCAGTTTGATAGGGAACCCAATATTCGCTATTTCATCCCCATATCCGTCTGCGGGCATGCCCATGCTCTACCCTGCTTCAACGGCTTACTTTACCCTACTTTCATGAGACTTTCGCCAAACTCGTTCGAAAAACCGTCAATTAAAAAATACAACACCTTTTTATAACCCCCGCTCATACATTTCCCAGACGTAGTCAACTTTGCTCAACCCCAAATTGCGA